CCCTGTATTTTTATTCACTACCCCTGTCCTAAGGCCTCCACCTTAACATGATGTAAATCTTGTAACAGAGAATCCTGAGACTGTACAGCGTTCACTTTACTGGAAATACCAGAATGTTGTATGGTTTCAAGTTTCAGGTTATGTTTAGAAGATTTCCATTGGTTGAAGTAGGGCCCTAAGGCACTAGGCTGTAGATCTATTCTAAGACCTAAGTGCTGCCATGCTGGGTGAGCCTACACCTTTGCAAATACCAACTTTCAGATTATTTGTATCTGCAACACCAATGAACCCCCCCGAATATCCTATGCAGACACAAATTATCTGAAGGTTGGTATTTACATGGCTTAGGCTCACCCAGCATGGTAGCACTTAGATCTGGAGATAGGTTACCCGCTGCTTTCTGGAGTATAGCGGGGGCAGGCATATAGGGGGCACCCAACAGTGTGCTGAACACATTTTCAGAAAGGCTGAAAGTATGTTTTTGCATGCTGTGGTGCATACTACAAAGGATCATTTGAGTTTACATAATATATCTTACACACAGGTTCTCTTTAAGGGATTTTTCTGTAACAACTGACTCCGAACTAGTCGGCTTGGCAGAGCTGACCAAACGCATGCCAACTTTCCTAGTTCCCACCCTTTTTTAGGGGGAGCTGGAAAATCTAAGCTGTTTCTCTATAACACAGACATCTGGATTTTATCTGCATCCTACTTTGTTTCAAGCTGTATCCTGCAATTATTTGTATCCAAAAACATTGAAGTATGTGTCCGTTACTGCAAACATTAGTCTTCAATTGATACATATCAAAGCAGGGGTGTGCAGCCAGCACTGCCTAAATCAGCCATTCTCAACCAGGGTTCTGTGGAATCCTCGGGCTCCCCCAGAGATGTCTAGGGGTTCCAGCTGATTGGCCTCCTATCTGCCACTTGGCAGATCGTTTTAGCTGCCTGTATGGGTGGCTTTCTATCCACCACTGTAAGGGGCATTCTTCCACTGACCACCACTGTAAGGGGCATTCCCCCCACTGACCACCACTGTAAGGGGACATTCAACCAACTGACCACCACTGTAAGGGGCATTCCCCCCACTGACCACCACTGTAAGGGGCATTCTTCCAACTGACCACTAATGTAAGGGGCATTCTTCCAACTGACCACCAGTGTAAGAGGCATTCCCCCCACTAGCCATCAGTGTGTGAGGCATTCCCCCCCATTGACCACCAAGGTAAGGGGCATTCCCCCCCACTGACCACCACTGTAAGGGGCATTCTTCCAACTGACCACTAATGTAAGGGGCATTCTTCCCACTGACCACCAGTGTAAGAGGCATTCCCCCCACTAGCCATCAGTGTGTGAGGCATTCCCCCCCATTGACCACCAATGTAAAGAGCATTCCCTTCCACTGACCACCAATGTAAGGAGCATTCTCTTCCACTCACCACCAATGTAAGGAGCATTACCCCAACTGAGCACCGATGTAAGGATTCAATTCTTCTCACTGAATACAACTGTAAGGGGGCATTCTTCCCACTGACCACCAATGTAAGGAGCATTCCCCCCCATTGACCACCAATGTAAAGAGCATTCCCTTCCACTGACCACCAATGTAAGGAGCATTCTCTTCCACTCACCACCAATGTAAGGAGCATTACCCCAACTGAGCACCGATGTAAGGATTCAATTCTTCTCACTGAATACAACTGTAAGGGGGCATTCTTCCCACTGACCACCAATGTAAGAGGCATTCTTCCAGCTGACCACCACTGTAAAATGTATTTTTCCCACTGACCCCCGGTGAACTCATTTTAGCAAGGGTTATCTGAGACTTGAACATTATTTGAAGGCTTCCTCTGTTGTAAAAAGGTTGAGAAATGTTGGTCTAGATGTAAAGGAACTCTAAGTTTCTTTGTGCCCCAACACAGACTGTCTCTGCTACTTTTCATCCTCTCCTAATGTACCTGCACCTTGTTTAACCCCTTAACTTTCAGCTCCTTTCTTCAGGAGGGGCCTAAATTGTGGGAGACATTCCTGATGGAGATTGTTTATTCTGGGATGAGATGAAATGTACCAAATCTCCCAGCACTTTAAAGTAGACCTGTAAAAAATCTGCAAATCAATCTGAGAATCATAAGCAAATGCATAAGCAGAAGGTAACTTCAGTAAACATTTGTGTGACAATGGTCAGTAGATGTAAAAATACCATCAACCGAAGTATTATGCAGATCTTGACAATGTCTTGACCTGTTGAACCAAGCTTGGTTCTGTCCCCCCCCC